GTGATGAATATCTTCCATCTTGAATTCTTAACTCCCCCCACTTTTAAAAGGAAATTCCCACTGCTAAACTGAGGTCTTCCAACCATATTTTCAGTTGCAGGCTGAGTTATTTCTACCTTCTCCTCTCTGTCAACGCTCTCTGGTTTCATTTAAAAGAGTCGATCATCAGATATTGTCCAAGATTAACCTTCAGGGTGGATATAGCTCGCTCACACCGAGGACCTATCCATGTCATCATTTACCCAGAATGCTTTGCGTGTAAATAAAATGGCTCCGTCCATGTTAAAATATAGTTTTAAAAATTTACAAAATTAAACAGCCTACAGTATTTTTCCAGTCTTTGTTTTACAGTTAAAATATATGTTTATCAAATAAAGTCTAATGTTACAACTAATCAGGGATCCCTTTAAGGCTCTGGATGTTGTGGGGTTGCATTGGTTGACGCGACTCTACAACATCGCGTGGACATCGGGGGCAGTTCCTCTGGATTGGCAGACCGGGGTGGTGGTCCCCCTATTTAAAAAGGGGGACCACAGAGTGTGTTCCAACTATAGGGGGATCATATTTCTGAGCCTCCCTGGTAAGGTCTATTAGGGGGTTCTGGAGAGGAGGGTCCGTTGGATAGTCTAAACTCGGATTCAGGAAGAGCAGTGTGGACGCTGGTCGTGGAACAGCGGACCAGCTCCACACCCTCAGCAGGGTCCTGGAGGGTGCATGGGAGTTCGCCCAACCAGTCTACATGTGTTTTGTGGACTTGGAGAAGGTGTTCGACCACGTCCATCGGGGACTCCTGTGTGGGGTACTCTGGAAGTATGGGGTACCAGGCCCATTGATACGGGCTGTTAGGTCCCTGTATGACTGGTGCCAGAGCTTGGTCCACATTGCCAGTAATAAGTCGGACTCGTTTCCGGTGAGAGTTGGACTCCGCCAAGGTTTTCCTTGTCACCGATTCTGTTCATAACTTTTATGGACAGAATTTCTAGGTGCAGCCAAAGTGTTGAGGGGATCCTTTTTGGTGACCTTAGGATCATGTCTTTGCTTTTTGCGGATGATGTGGTCCTATTGGCTTCATCATATCGTGATCTCCAGCTCTCACTGGAGCAGTTCACAGCCGAGTGTGAAGTGACCGGGATGAGGATCAATGCCTCCAAATCCGAGACCATGGTCTTGAGCCGGAAAACAGTAGCGTGCCGTCTCAGGGTCGGGGAGGAGGTCCTGCCCCAAGTGGAGGAGTTTAAGTATCTCAGGGTCTTGTTCACGAATGAGGGAAGAATGGAGCAGGAGATCAACAGGCGAATTGGTGCTGCATCTGCAGTGATGCGGGCGCTGTACCGGTCTGTCGTGGTGAAGCGAGAGCTGAGCCAGAAGGCAAAGCTCTCAATTTACCAGTCGGTCTACGTTCCTACCCTCATCTATGGTCACGAACTTTGGAAAGTGACCGAAAGAACGAGATCATGGATACAAACAGCCGAAATTAGTTTCTTCTGCAGGGTGTCTGGGCTCTCCTTTTAGAGATAGGGTGAGAAGCTCAGTCATCTGGGAGGGACTCAGAGTAGAGCCGCTGCTCCTCCACGTCAAGAGGAGCCAGTTGAGGTGGCTCAGGCGTCTGGTTAGGAAGCCTCGTTGACGCCTCCCTGGTGAGGTGTTCCGGGCATGTCCCACTGGGAGGAGGCCCAGAGGAAGACCCAGTACAAGCTGGAGGGACTATGTTTCTCAGCTGGCCTGGGAACGCCTTGGGATTCCCCAGGATGAGCTGGCCCAAGTGGCTGGGGAGAGGGAAGTCAGGGTCTCTCTGCATAGGCTGCTGCCCCCGCGACCCGACCCCGGATAAGCAGAAGAAAACAGATGGACAGACGGATTTAACATTTTTAGATGATGAAATATAATTTAACTTTGGTTGCTTCGTAGTGAAAGAATGTAGATGTCTTATTAAAAGGTAAATACATTAGGAGGGATGCGAACGCTCCATGTCTTTCCTTGTTAGTGTGTGAGATCATGTTTTTGTTGTCACTTTCCAAAGGCTTGAGGTTAAATCTTCCTTTCTTCGCAGCATCTAGTGTTCTGTCATATCACTATGAAGTAATAATAAACCCAATAATACCTGCTGCTGTTTTCAGGGTCAAGGAGTAATGAAACACGGGGCACGAGGGAAAAAACAAACACTCAAATCTGCGTCAACAGATCTCGGCACCACTGATGTTGGTAAGTTAAAAATACAGTTACAACCCAACTCCGAAGATATTTTTGATATTTGTAGGTATGTTATGGGCTCTCCACTAAGATCTTGTTTTTAGCAAAGTGTCATATTGTTTAAGTGAGGCAATAGAACAGTAAAACTTGTATTGTTTCTCTCACACACACGTACACACTATTTCTTGGTGAGAGGTGGTTATAAACCTGAGGACTCAGTTATGGAAATGATGTCTAACATTTCTCTCTCTGATATCGCTGCTTCTTGTTTAGTGGTGAGTCGAGTCCTCGAAGTAACTGACCTGCCAGAGGGAATTTCACGTCCAGAGGCCGAGAAGCTCTTCAACCAGCTGTCACTATGTGGTGCCAAGATCCAGTGGCTCAAGGAGCCCCAGGGAGGCCGAGGAGTAGCGGGAGGCTGCGGCCCCTGTCCTGGAGCGGGGCTGTCTGGACCAGGAGCCAGCGCAGGAGCCGGGGGAGGAAACGACCCAGCTCACCTCTACACGGTAGTGGCAGTGTTCCCCAGCACCATGGCTGCTCAGAGTGCTTCCTTCAAACTTAACAACAGCGGGGCCAGCCTCTTCAAACTGAGGGCCGCCAAAAAGAACTATGACCTGCGTGTGCTGGAGAGAGCCAGTTCTCAGTGAGAGGAAATGAGAGATGGAGGAAAGACACAAACAGACAGACTCTTGGTAAAATGGTGGAAAAGGAAGGAGGACTGAGGGGGACTGCTATTAATGTACAATTAAGAATAAAATGACAAAAAAATTAAATAATGTGTCAAATGTATAAAAGGGAAGAAGGTGTGAATCATGAGGTGGATGGTGTTTGGTTGCAAATCCGATTTTTGTTTGTTTTTCTTCATTGGTTTTGTTTTGTATTTATAAAGCGGAAGAGCACACAAGACACTCGAGCATGTGTTTCACAGTTGCTGTGGTACGTGTGCTGCCACGACACAAAAACACATGCAAGGTCACACACACACACACACACACAAACCAAAAGACACAGACAGACACAAAAGTGCAGGCAACAGGGTCACGTAGCACATAAACAAAAACACACTGGACAGTCGATCTTTTTCAGACCTTATCCTCCTCCACCCTTCTGTTCTACAGCTCCTTTTGCTGCCAGCGCTTTCTCTGATTCCTCAGCTCTCCATCACCCAGTTGTCTCAGATTCTCATATATTTATAAATATTCATACGCACAGGTGCGCACTCTCTCTGCTGTCCCCAGCTGCTTCCCCTTCTTTTCTTGCCATTGCCCCCCCACCCCATTTTCCTTCCTAACTTTCTCTGCTTCTCTGTTCCTCTCACCTAGTGTCGCTGCTCTCYCCTCTCCTGCTTTGTTTGCCTTACTGCTGTTGTGGGTTTCTGTATTGCGCTGTTTTTTCCCTCTCAGAAGTTCTTTTTTCTTTCTTTTCTTCCTTTTTTTTGAGGGTTCAATATATTTATATAAGTGATGTAAGGAATAAAAGAGATCTATATATTCAGTGATTTTTTTTTCTTTCGTTCCAGAGTGGGCCTTCCTTCATCTTTTACTCCTTCCTTCTTAACCCCTTCTTCTCTTCCCCACACTTGTTTCCTCTTTGCTGCCCTCTACCTCACTTCTTCTGCCCCCTCCTCCCTCCCACAACTGCCCCCCACTTTCCCCAGCTCCACCCAGACGTCCCCATTGTGTTTGCGTTTTTTTGTTGACAGCTGTGCAGAACGTATAAGAAGAAGTAGTTAAAGTGCACAATGATTGCATATGTCTACTGTAAATTTTATTTAATCTGTTATTTTTGTTTGTTTTTAAAAATATAAAAGTTGAGAAAAATCTATTAAAATATGCTTGGCGTTGTGTGGTTTGTTTGATTTAATCAAACAGGATTTGGTCAGATTCTTAACCCGCCTCGTTTTTAGTTTTCACATAAACGGATGAAGAAAACCCACCAAATTCTTAGWCTTGTTGGAGATAAGAAACTATTTTTGTTGTTCAAAGGATCCTTTTCAGYTAGTTTAATGAATACTGAGTAATGAACTGAACCATGCATTCGTCATGCATAAAACATCTTTCAAACACGTTAGGTCATTTTTTGTTATGTAGTTCAATGTGAATTATGATGGTTTTAAAAGAATATTCTGCCAGGCAGAAGATAATTTTTCTAAACTTTTTTTTTGTCCACTAAAAGATTTGTACCATAAATGACTTCTTTGGCCAAAATATATTAATAATCTCAACAAATCAAACACTGCCTTTTSTAAAAATAAATGACAGCTCTTTATTTAAACAGGCAAATGTTTGCTCTTGAAAAATGTAGACAAAAGAATTTAACTCATTACAACACATTACAGAGCAGAATAAATCTGTTTACAGAGGCCAATCTAGAAATTAGCCAATCATTAGAAATAAACTGTATAAAACTTTAAATTATTGAAAGTCTGATCTTTTTAAAGAAATGTGTAAAAACTCGAGTGCTGGCAAAGACTCAGTTCTGTTGACATATTTTTTTATTTTCTTTTTTTTACGAGTAAATGGGCATATTTTATTCATCATTAGTAAAATAAATAATTGGTATATTTTTATTTTATTTGGCTTCAGTAGTCTGCAGTAAAC